TGGTACCAGAAACCCTCATTAGTCTCTGATACCAGTCCCCCATAAGGATCTGGTACCAGAAACCGCCCCCCCCCCCCCCGGAGAAAAAAGTCTGGAACGAGCCTAAACATACATATTTAACAACAGTTCACCGATCTGTTCCATTTGCGATTTCTTTTACTCTCTTATATGTCCTTCGGCACAACATTATTTTTATGAGCTGAGCATTTCAAATAGTTGGGGGCTGGGGGGAGGGAACTTAGCTCTAGGAGATGTTTTGACTAATTTATCATGTATTGAACTTGTAAATCAAAGTTTATCGATGTATCATGCCTAATTAACATACTCTTCGATTCAGGCTCTACATATGTATCAGTGTTCTGTAAAGAACCAGGAAGAATCCTGCTCGTATGAAATGTACACAGATATAAACAAAGCTGATTGTCTCTTTCCAATATGTATTTGATCTGGTTGTAAAGAAGCTACGTATTAAATTATTCAAAGCACGATTCTTTTAAAAGCGGCATGATATCATGGGATTATTTTTATTTTAAAAGCTGGTTTTTTTAATGAAATACATAGTTGATACGTTGACTCTGGCTAAATAGCTAGAACATCAAGAAGGTCTGGCTAAATACCTAGAATACCATGGTCTAAAATAACAGGAGATTATCAGGTTAACATCAGGTTAATAATAAATATACAACGGCTTCATTAAGATTGTTGTCACACCTGCAAATGTTTGAACAATTTGAATTTTTTTTTACTCAAAGCATTTTTTAACATTGGACACATTTTTACATATGAAAATATTTTTAAGATTTAAGTGACTTACACATTTTTGTGTCAAGGATTTATTGATTTAACCTCTAAACCCCTTCCTTAACGCCTGTTAGTGATCGGCGAAACCGAGATAACATTTTTTATTCTTCATAGTCACAAAACTAAACACTCGACAAATAAATCTTTTTCAATATTCACTAAATAAATACTAGCGTAAGACTTGTTAAACAATAGTCTTTGTTTTTCGTATCTATAACATAGTATATTCTTGTTAAGGTTATTATATGTTATCAACTGACGACACTATTATTTAAAAAATTAAGGATGTTTGTGGAGAGTGTGTGTAGGGGGGGAGTGTGGGAGAGGGGGCAACACTTCTTAATATGGTCACGGCTTACCTAACTGAACTATATAATCTGCTGCTTCAGTTTCATACGCAATTTTTACTGCTGCTGTTCAGAAGTTCATGAGGCGATCTCAAAATGGGGTCTTCGTGCATTTGCTTAATTATTTTAACTTTGTTTTTTTCTTTAAATACATCAGAGTATGCTGGAATATGCAGTCGTAAGTATATTATTGTTTAAATTTAAATTCCAGTAAAGCGAGGGTGTATTAATTAAGTCTGTATTTTCAACGAGATAAGACACAGTCAAAATAGTTTTAGGGTGAGGCAGTTACTTAGGTGATGGATAATTTTGTTCTTCAATTACAAACCACCTGATTAAGTTATATATTTAGCGGACTAACATTTACTACCGCGTTAATTAAAATAAACTGACACTTATTCATTTGGAAATGTATAAAACAATGCAATTGTAAAGTTATCGTGTTTAAAATATTCTAATAAAGCAATTTGTTAAAAAACGTATTTAATAATAAAATAAAAGACATGAACAATGTAATTAACAAATTGATAAACATTTGTAAATAATTTTATTTCTAGAATAATGAATCTTACAATCTTACTGTTTTTAGTTTATATTTTAGTATGTACTTTCTTTTATAACAATAAAAATAACTCAATAAGGAAGTAACGCTTCTGTTAAAGACTATTTTTTTATTTTATCTTGTAAATTTCCAGAGTACCAGCTGAGAGGTCTGTGTAAGCTACTGTATTATGCCAGGATATGCGGCAGTAAGTCGATAATCTAATCCAGTTTTTATAGACCAGTTCCACATGAGGGGAAAATATACGCCGTCATATTATTTGAGTCTAGTACTATTTAATTTATCTCTCTGTAGATAAGATAAACAATTAAACTCATAAGGATTTGTTTGCAGCCTAAGATTTCTCAATCACTTAGTAGAAGATAATTTCCTCTTTTTTTTGGCTTGAGGTGTATCAGCACGTCCTTATTTTCTTTGACACTTGTAATAAAATCACGTGACTTTGCTGTTCATAAACTATTTTGATAGCGTCAACCTTATTTACGTCTCTTAGGAAATGCTCGCGTACTAAAATATTTTAACAAATTTTAGACGTATTTCAACCAACATCATTGTGACTTTCTTTTACGTTGCCATTTACCTGTTTGTCGTTGTATTTAGTAATTTAATCTATACCTTGATAACATCAGAAGCCAACATGCCGTGCCTTCTTTCATCCCCTGAAGATCTCACTGAAACAGTCGACCCAATGACTCAACAAGAGAGGTCATTCTGTGAACTGAGTAAGTAGCGCTACATAGTTTAGGTTATGATTATTGTGATGGTGCTCATAAGGAGTGGGTTTAGTCAAAATTGACAAACATTGTGCGACGTCATGAATCTTTGACTCCTAATGTTTTATTTCAAAAAAATAAATTCTTTTAATATTTTATTTATTTTGATAAATAATATCCCTTCTTTCCATTTAGAATGTAGTCAAGGCAGTTACGACATGTTTAGTGTGCTGTGTGATTGCGACATCAACATAGCAACGGGGGGAATACCTGAATCTCTTGAGGCCCAAGCAACGTCTATCACACTCAACCTCAAATCTGCTTCACCTACCACATTCACTATCCAACCCAACACCACAACAACTTTTACCATCGTGTCGACTTCACCATCTAAAACAACTACAATTACCATCGTAGCTTCCTCAGTCATCACAGAAGATACAACACCGACTACCACAGCAAATACATACATGAATACTGCCACTCCCTCCACTACCACCACAACTGCAACTCCAACTACTCTAACAACTACAACCACCACAACTACCAAACCTACCACCACAACTACCAAACCTACCACCACAACTACCAAAACTACCACTACAACTACCAAACCTACCACAACAACTACCAAACCTACCACAACAACTACCAAACCTTCCACGACAACTACCAAACCTACCACCACAACAACCAAACCTACCACGACAACAACCAAACCTACCACGACAACAACCAAACCTACCACCACAACAACCAAACCTACCACAACAACTACCAAACCAACTACGACAATGACCACAACCCTTACAACGTCCACTACAACTTCAACAACCACACCCACTACAACAACAACCACACCCACTACTACAACAACCACACCCACTACAACAACAGCCACGACCACTACAACAACAACCACACCCACTACAACAACAGCCACGACCACTACAACAACAACAACACCCACTACAACAACAACCACACCCACTACAACAACAACCACACCCACTACAACAACAACCACACCCACTACAACAACAACCACACCAACTACTACAACAACCACACCCACTACAACAACGACCACACCCACTACAACAACAGCCACACCAACTACAACAACAACCACACCCACTACAACAACAACCACACCCACTACAACAACAACTACACCCACTACTACAACAACCACACCCACTACTACAACTACCACACCAACTACAACCACCACAACCGCCACTACAACCGACCCGCCTACAACAACAGAAGAAGCTACTACTACTATAACTACAGTAGAACAACCTACAACAACTACAACGCCTCGACCAGGTAATTATTACTATCCTAAGATAAAAGCTAAACCAATTCTCTCGCACTATGTTTTTGGTGTATATTTTAAACAAGTTAAATGCATACCTAGAGATAATCACATTTGCTCGGTAAAGGAACTGCTATTCCACTAGAAAATCTGACACAAGAACATAAAAATAGTGTTAAGAGAAATCTAAAATTTTCAAAAATAGTTTGTCCTAAACCCGAAAACTTTCTTGTCAAGACACTACATTTATTTTTATTATGTCATAAATAAAAACGTACATGAAATTTTAAAGATAAACCTTGAATAGTTCCCTCTTGAATCACATCCACAACGAAATATTCACTATTGTATTAACACTTTCTGTTGATCTCTCTAGAGACCTGCTACTACACGAGGAACAGACCAGCCCAGCTTGGTACAATAGTCAAGAGAATGTACTCTGGTTCTGATGTTCTCACAGAGTACGAGTATCCGGGAGTTGTCGGACTTTTTAATGCAAATAAAGTCTTCCAGTGTATGGGCACGCTGTTGGAGGAGGACGTAATTTTGATTGACGCTTACTGTTTAGCTGTAGCAAACAGGTAATGTGATATATAAGGCAACGTTAAGTGGATCGGGTATCTCTTTGTTCATTGACAGTTTTCGTTTAGATTGGCTAACTACTGTGCGTATTTGATTAAATCAAAACTAGTTGCTAACTGAAAACAATTAAGTGGACATTTTAAGGGTCAGGTCGGTCAAGCTCATGGTTTCTAAACAGAATATCCCGGAGTACGAACCCCCGGGCTGATGTGGCTCGATAGCCTGGGACAGCATCCTATCTCGGAGAGACAACTCCAAAATCAAACAACTGCTGTCTTATTCTTGGGTGGACAAAGGCTATGGAAGCAAATCCAAAAAGAAAGCAGGCTGAAATCGGATTCAACGGCCTCAATGGTGCATAACCAGTTGACACGTAATACTTAATTATGTTGGAGGGGATCTCTTCTAACATTAAAATTAAGAACGAAGTAGAAGAAGAATGGAAATTTCATTTGTTAATGTTCAATAATTCTAGTGAAAATACTTGAGGCAAAGTACAATTTTTCGCAAAGAAGCTACTCTTCATTTTAGTCTTTCTCACAGAGATTATCTATAAAAATGCTGGTAAATGCTCAATTGAGTAATTGGCTTGTAAACTATTAAGAATAAACTATTACAAATGTCCATGTGATTGCTTAAACTCGACAGCTCCAAAAATGGACCACTGTACGCCTCTGTTGGGTCTTACCAACTGCCAGACGTTACAACTAACTTACCTTACCTGGTCGTATCGTCTGCTAAATATCTGGACTCTAGTAAGTTTTAATTTACAATTAATAGACAGCTGTCTTGTGTCTTGCTTATATCTAATTTGTTGTCTTAAAAATTAGTTTTATTAATTAATGACAAAATAAGCTTCGTTGTTTAAAGTCTTCTTTGTTGTATCTGACGATCGTGTCTACTTTTTCATCAGCGACTGGTTGAGACAATACTGACATGAATGAAATTTTAATTCATGTAATAAAAATAAAGGTTATTGACAATGTTAACTCTTTATATATCTTTGGCAATATTGAAGGAAATGACGTTAGAGATCTGTCTATATATCATGTAGTTATATCTTGTAAATTAAATACGTTTCCATACAGCTTTGACCAACAAAAATTTGTACACAATATCTCTGAGTTCTCCTGTCACTTTTGATGACCGCTGTGTCCAGCCGGCCTGTGTCCCCAACTCCCATGTCTATTTGGCTGATATTGACCACACAGACTGTAGGGTTGTGGGCTATGGTGATACTTCTGATAGTAAGTTTGCAATATTGAATACATCAGTGTTGTTTTACTTCACGATATTTTTGTCAGCTCTAACCATCAGTACAACTTTGTGAAGCATAAGGGTGTTATAGTCAAAATATAGACAATAGTATATACTTTTTCGGTTAAGTTTAACCTTAGAGTTTAGGCTTAGGGTTAGGGTTATCAAGAATAAAGAGCAAACGTTATTTTACCTTTTCATTTCTTTATTTTAAGCTACACCATCCTCAAGTCCAACACTGAAGGAAGTTAAGGTCACACTTAATCTAGTTAGCATTAGCGGACCTATCAGATACACAAGAATGGATGTCATCAACACAAAAGCTGGGCCTTGCTTCGTAAGTTGTATCCAAAAGTAGGGATTTGCACATTCTTTTTGCATTTAACATTTGACATTTTTTTTATGTGGTAGGTAATATATCTAAATTAAAATATTTCCTTTGGACAAACACACAAAGACACACACACACACACACACACACAAACACACACACACTCCCTCTCTTCCGCACGCACACGCACACACATGGGCATATATATATATATATATATATATATATATATATATATATATATATATATATATATATATATATATATATATATATATATATATATATATATATCCCCAGGGCGACCACGGAGCTCCACTGATTTGCCGCCATAAGGCGACAGAAGAATGGATCACAGTTGGTATGACCACGACAGTTGGGTACCCGTGTTCAGAGTTTCTTCCAGGCATCTCTTCGGGGGGGCGAAGCCCCCCCCGAAAAAATTTTACCGCCCCCCCGAACGAAATGAAATTTCTATAATTTATATAGAAAATATATACTTTTAACAGTGTCCGCCCCCCCGAAGAAAGTTTACCGCCCCCCCGAAGATTTCAAGTGCCCCCCCCGGAGAAAAAAGTCTGGAAGAAACACTGCCCGTGTTCTACTGGAAAAACCGCGTAAGTGGCGAATCTTACCAATATATTAATTGACAGATTGTTGCTCTCAGATACAGGCGAGGTTTTCTGTGTTGAGATCCACTTGTCATCTTACAACAAAAAGAAATCTAACCGAGCGTGCTTGTTGTTTAGAGTTCGCCGGGTCACTTGGCTTTTTATAAAATTTGACGCAACAAGAAAAAGGCTGAAAATCTGTGCAGTGAATGATTTGTAGGTAGAAACATCTCTTAACTTGATGCTCATTTACTATAATGTATTACACACATTTTGTAACTGAATCGTATGAAGCCAACCACAGTGACGCTACTAGTAATGAACAGTTCCGAAGACAAAAAACAGAAATTATGTTTTTTTAAAAAACAACAGGAACTCTATTTACTTTAAGAAATATGATGTCTACAATTAATTATTATATTCAATGAAATGTTTAAATGTATTCGTCCAAAAGGACCAATAGCACATTTGCATCTATTATTGTAAATAAAAGAATATATATATTTTTTAATTTGCTCGTTTTTAAAATTGAGGGTTGAAAATCTAAGCGTGTTATGTTTCTAATCTTATCATTTCCCGTCAGTGTTCAAGACACACGGAGTAGCTGCACTAGAGTTTATATGTTTCATCGGCATAAATACAGCCAGTGTGGTCAGTACAAACTTCTGCCGCCTTGGTTTACCTAATAATGATTCAGGTACCTAATAGAGCTGGGTGGACTCAGTGACGTCCTACTGACTCGCGTCCAGCACCGGAACTCAAAACTCTCAGGCTGTCAATTGGGTGCTCTAACACCCGACCACGTCCCCCCTCCCCCCACCATTATGCTTCTCATGAGACCATGATAATGTTTCAGACAACCCGGTGCGACCACTTTCCTGAGCGAGGCAGCGAAACCAGTATTCTACAATGCTCTACAGGCATTTAAATACATACCGGTTTAGGGGAATCCACATGGGTGTCTATCAAAGTTCATAAAAAAGTTTACAACGTGGTACCACTGTTATTGAACAGAGGTAATTTCAATGTTTTATTATAAAATTTAATGAATAAAAATAAAATAGCACGATGCATGTTTTTTTTTTCTTCTCTTCAATATTACCGCGGAATTATTCACTCTCAGAACAGTAATCACCACAAAATGAGAGTTGCGACACCATTGGGTCCCATCTACCACCCAGGTTGTAGCTCGCCTTGATGATTGTGGGGACCGTTCACTTAGGGGTCACTCTCTCGCAGAGGCTTATTCATCCCTATAAGTGTCAGAGGGGAATTATAAAAAAATATGAATTTGCCCAATACCATCTCCCATTCACCGGCCATGGACAAATTTTTCTTGATTTCCGACATTGGCCGGTCAGTTCGCGGACTGACCAGCGATGAGCGGTCAATGTCATTTATTTTTCTTGATTTCGGACATTGGCTAGCCAGTTAGTTTGTGCCAAATGCATAGAACTCACACTTTCCGTATTGTGTGAAAAGTTAAATATCTAACTATTGTGTGGGATGATTAAGGTGCGTTAAATTGTGTATTTGCTCTGTGTCTTCGTGCACTAGCTTTGGTTTAAACTAAAATGATATAAGCCTGCCATATTTAAATGAAGACAATAAATCCCTGAGATGTTTTGTAACAATTTATTTAATGCAAGAAATAAATAGGTAATAAGTTAAAGATCTGGTTGAACAATCTGACAACAGCTAGAATATCACGTTGTAAAGTAACAGGAGAATATCAAGTTATCTTCAGGTCATACAATTATTTACAACAGGAAATATTTAGATTATAATGTTAAGACCGGTATTTTATCAAAATTTAAGATCCATATTTTATAAGGAAAACATTTCCAAAAAAAAACTAAAAAATTTTTTTTTTTGAACAAGATACAATATATTTGCAATGTGTACTATAACAATTAATGGAGTAGAAACAGGTCGAAATCTAAGATCCCTGCCGTTTCCTATTGTATTTAAATTGGGGTAGAATTCTGCCTGTCTTGACTGCCGCATGTTTTTCTCTTGAGAAAATTAAAAATAAATAAACGATTCTAAAAATATTTCTTAATATTTTTAAAAAGATTTAAATTATGCCATATAGAGTGGCTAAATGATAAACATTACGAAGAAAGGGAGTTATCTACAAAATAGCAGCTATAGTAACAATTACTAGCTTATAAAAACCAATGAATAAATAAAGGAATGCTTTGAGTTGAGCTAAAATAGGGATATAGATGTGCTAAGTTTAGGAGTTAAATAGCCTAATTTAAAACTAATAATTATTAGTTATTAGCGCACAGACTATATTATAATTATCAACAGAAATTAAAATATGTATTTATGTTTCTCCTAAGGTGTTCTACACCGGTCACACTGTCTACTGTGCCATATATTAGTTAATCTTAAAGCTTCTATAGTAACTCATAACACTTCTAATCCAATCATAAAAACTACATGTGTGAGTTATCTTCTCATTAAAAAAAACAACTATAAAACCTTTTTAACGACTAAAAGTTCCAGATAAATTAAAAATGTGCTAGCCCAGCACTCAATAATTACTGTGCTAATACATGCAAATTTATTAAAGTATTTAACATCAATCTCTGTAGAATAAAAAAACTAAAAAACATTTTTAATTTATATCAATAAATACATAAAAAATATTATCAAATGATATGTAAGTCATTACAATAAAGCAAGTAGATTTTTTAGATCACACTTAATAAACTAAACAAAAACATCTTATACCGGTTACGTACAACATATTTGAAAAAACTGTTAAAAAAATAGAAAACATAAAAAAAAAATTTAATGCAAATTTTAGGTTATGTACATGAGGAATGAGGCTATTCTAGTTACCAGAAATACCATACCTCAGCATACAACAGATCAACGTTAATTTCTGTTCAGTATTTTTAAAAATCAATTAAATTACCGGATTATATTCATGTTAAAATGTTTAAAAATAACTTCTGATTATGCTTGAGGTATTGCACAGATAAAAATAATTGTAAATAAAATATTATTTTTTGTTTTGATATTGAACTAATGCTCAGTTTAAAAACTACTGGCATGGAAATCAAAATACAGTAAAACTTATAAAAAGTAGGGACATCTGTTGAAGCTGTTACATTCAGTTTAAATGGCACCCATTGTAGGGAAGGTCAAGATTTTAAAAATTAATTTATAGATCTACAATAGCAATAGGAACAAATTTTATGTAAGAATTAAGGGGATAGGAATATATTTTAATAATAATCTGAGACATGGTTGAGATTTTAATTTGTAGAAAATTAGGTGTATTCAATCTGAGAAAGGTTTTGTGAAAACAAATATATAAATTTTATGGCAAGAGAGGCTTAGAATACATGAAGTCAAAATTTTAGTCTGTTTTTACAATCTAAGAGTCAGCTCAAAATACAATACACAAATTGATAAAAAAATGTTTTCCACAAATGGAATACACAAATCGACACATGGTAATACCATAAATATCTTATTAATTTTATCAAAATTGTATATATTCTTACATGATATTTCTTAATGATGTATGAAACACAAAGTCATGTTTTATTTATTTTATTAAAATTTAAGTTAAGAAAAAAGGGCAGGACCTGATTTTAAAATTAAAAACTGTCAATAAATTTTATATTAAATGTGTTAAGAATAGTTGATTATAAATTATAAATAGGTGAAAAAATGAGTTTGCAACAAACTTCAAAACTTAATGTAGTGAATGAAAACATATAGAAAGAGCAAACACTTTATCCTATTCCTAGATTAAAGTTATAAGAAAAAAACAGCAATGAAAGTATTTCTAAAAATATGTTAAAGGCTATCTAAATTAAAAAAAAATGTCCTTAGAGTGGTATATAATTTAAAAACAGACACATACAAAGCATGGTACAAAAAGGTTTTAGTTAGAATTTCTTATTATTATAAACAGCTAGCAATCCACAATACATCAGTGCTAATAATATCATAATCGTTACTTTTGAGTCAGCACCTATAGGGCTGGTATGTAGGTCACCAACCAGTTCTACGGCTCAATAAAACCTGCATGAGCCATAGAACTGTTTATTGACCTACTTACCAGCCCTATAGTAGACTATAGCAGTCCAGGCTTAGAAAGAAGGCTGTTTCTTCAAGCTTCCAAAGGCTTTAACATTACTCCGATGATCCTCTTTATGTTTTTTCTTCAAGCTGTTTTTCTTCATAATTGTCTCTGCTAACTGATCATTCTCCTTAATTGTCTCTTCAATTTTGTGCAGTCCATTATCCCTAACCAGGCCATTGAGGTGACCTTTCTCTACATGACCTATGAGGTCCTGCTCAAACTTCCTCCCGCTGTCGTTGGTACTGAGGCTGTCACTGTCACTGCCCTTGACCTCCTCTTCCTCCTCCTCCCCCTCACATGGCTCGGGGTGGATGAAGTTGTAGCACAGGTTGTTGCAGCGGTGGCTCTTGAAAACTTTTCTGATGGCGGCGGCGCCTTTGTCTGTGCTGGATCCGAACCTGCCGTCCACGGAGTGAATGCAGGGGGTGGTCAGGAAGTAGCCCTCGTCACACTGGACACCCTGGTTAATTGAATTAAAATAATTAACTAAAAAATTTCACTGATAATTAGAAATAAACTACAGGTTGAGAAATATATAACATGGATAATAAACTACCAGTCAAAGGTTGGTGCTATTCAAATAACATTGTAGAATGAACTAAAATAAAAATAAAAGTAAGTTTGTCTTTTTAAAGTGAAATGACCACATAGTCTACACGTAGCAATCATTATAAAAGACTACAAAATTAACCAGGACTTTCTTTTAATGACTATGAAATAGACATCCAAATTGGTATTTTCTAATTTGGGGTATATGGCCCCCTTAGTCTAATGGACCATTGTATGATTGCGCATTGGAAATCCAAACACAATGCGGTATATGGCCCCCTTAGTCTAATGGACCATTGTATGATTGCGCATTGGAAATCCAAACACAATGCCTGGGCGGTAAGATGAGAAGAGCCAGATGTTGCCCATGTATCACAACCGTGGAATCAGCAGTGTTGCAGGAGCTGCCCAACTATACTAAGCCATAACCAAGCTCTAAGACACAAAAGTCCCAACACAGTTTTAACACTAAACCATTTGATTACCATACCTAAATCAACATAACTACCTATCCATCACATGCATATTGTTTGAAAAAGTCTACTGTCGAACAGTGGCAAGAGAAATACTGCTTCATTGTAGCCTACAACATATTTTTTTTATGAATGAAACATCATAAAAAAGTTACTAGGCCTAGATTTACTCCCTGTAGAAAATAGTATGGTTCTCTCCATTAGGACAGAACGAAATAATTTTACTTGGATTATTTCCCTTTGATTACTTAAAATTCTATTCCTTAACATAATTTGGAAGAGATCGATAACACCCAATCTTGATAATTTTTTTTAAAAATTTCACCATTAATAATAAGGGGCCTAAATTTCAAACATCTTCAAAGAAAAACGAATGTTTGCTTTACGTTGTGCACGATAAATCGTTTTAATGAGTAAATACGACGAGAACAATAAATTACGACCATCCCTTTAGCTTAGAGCAGGGGTCGGCAACCTTTTGAAGCGGAAGAGCCAAAAGTTACAATTTTCAAAATTTCCCTGGTTTTAAAGAGCCACTAACATTTTTTTTATTTCAAATATTTTTTTTTTTATTAAGATTATTAGTAATTGTTCAAGGAGCTGGAGAGCCGCATCTTGATATCAAAAGAGCCGCATGCGGCTCGCGAGCCGCAGGTTGCCGACCCCTGGCTTAGAGAGACACCAGCCAATTGTAAGGAATAAAAAATCTGTAAAGCAGAAATAATTCTATGATTTTAATGCTATTTGTACACACGAGGGTATAGTTATTATATACACGATTCTAGCTAATTAAAACAACCAATGCAAACGAATGTATAAAAGTATAGTTACCCAGAACCCGCACAGATTGTACAGTGTTACTATTGTTTAGGCCTACGTGATTAGATCTAATTAATAAGACCAATACAAACGAGTTTGTACAGTTACCTGAACCCACGTAGAACGTGGTGTTACTACTATTGTCTACAGTCGTGATTCCATCTAATTAAAACAACGAACACAAACGAGTTTGTACAGTTACCTAAAACCCTCATAGGACGTACAGTGTTACTACTAGTCTATACAGTCATGATTCCATCTATTCAAATCAACTAATATAACGAACATTATTTGCCCTGGAAGCCGCATACGTACAGTGTTACTACTATTGTATAGGCTTATGTGAATCGATCTAATTAAGAAAACGAACACAAACGTGTTAGAACAGTTACCTGGAAGCCACAGAGAACGTATTTGCCCTCACTCTCCTGGAATGTGAAGTGAAGAAAAGCGTCCAGAGTCGTTGGGTCAGTCTTCATACGCTCGCCCGTCTTACGTATAAAGCTCTCGTACTCACCCTGTACACACAGAACGAAATAACACGGATAGAAAAAAGTAAACAAAATAACAGGTATAGTAAAAGTAAACAAAATAACACGTTTTTAAGAACTAGCAATCAGTAGGGCAGGTGAGTTCAAATGTTTTTTGGCTTCGGCATATAAAAGGATAGTCTGGTCAGCACTATGTCCAGCCACCTTTTGTTTCCCTAACTTGAGTCAGTTACCCATCAGAGCTGGGTGAACTCAGCCGACTTCCTGCAGAATCAAGTCCAGACCGACATCCGAAATCGAGACTTTCGGGCAAGCAGTCTAGCGCTCTACCGCCTTACCAAACCTTCCCATAACATGCATAATCGAAGTTAATTTTTTTAAAACCTAGTCTCTTTCTTGTTAATTCTGTACAATGTCCAAGACAAAAGTTTACCATATTTCAAACAGACTCTTATCCCCGTATAACAAAACAACTACCACCAGTGTTAGAGCAGGTGTCTACTTTTAACTACCAGCAGTGATATATTTGTAAACAAAAGCCCACCAGCACTCATATATATGTAGATTCTAACCCACCAGCAGTCATATGTGTAAACAAAAACACACCAACAGTCACAAAAAAAAAAAAAAAAAAACACCAGTTATCTACCTTAGTACAATGTCGCGTTGACATCTAATGACTTGTTTCATAAAAAGTGAATCTCCTACTTTTTAAAAAACCCAACCCTTTAAACATTGATTTTTTTTTCCTGAGTCGGTCGCCTGCTTGCGTCATCGGCGTTGTTTTTCATCGTCTTCAAAACATCTGATGTACGTCATCGATATCACGTGAATCACAGATGTCATTTAATATGTCAAGCTGAGAACCTAATGTCAAGTTCATCACTGATGTGTACTTGTACAGAGCGTGGGTTTGTTGAATACAAACACCGCTAAATTTAATAGAGGATTTCAGGTTGAGTGGTGTTTTACTATTTTAAGGCATACGTTTTATCGCTATAGTTTTAAAGCTGATGTTTCTATTAAATGATTTCATCAAAAGCGCAACATAATAATGAAATACTAACGATACAATATAGTGTGTATGGTATAATATACTGTGTGTATATCACTGTGTGTTTATCTACTGCTAAATAAAAGATATTCGGGAACATTATTGTGCTAGCGTGTAACATCGTATAATATAATATGTGTATTTCAATGTGTAAATGTGTATCTACGGATATACATAAACTGTATTGTGCTGGCGTGTAACATCGTATAATATAATGTGTGTATATCTATGTATAGGGCCTAAATCTGTATCTACAACTAAATAAAGGGTAGTCATGAGTTTTATTGTGCTAGCGTATAACATCGTCTAATTTTGTATATCAATGTGTAAATGTGTATCGACTGTTAAACAAAAAACGGTCATAAACTTTATAATGCTAGCGTGTAACATTGTATAATATAATGTGCGTATTTCAATGTGTATCTACTGTTTAATAAATGATTGTCACGAACTTTATTGTGCAAGCGTGCAGCATCGTATACAATGTTCCCTCTAAGGACCAAGAGTGTGTGTGCAAAAAATATGTTGTGTGCGCGGTGCTAAAAATGACTTGGGCAAGTTTATATGTATGTTTAGGCTAGCAATTAAGCAGAGTAATGAAGGCAATGATTTTGATAAATTAATAGTATAATGTGTGTGACTAATGGAACGTATGCAATTAAATGGAGATACGAATACCATCAAAATAAAAAATAAATAATAAAAACTTTCAGAGTTATACTTAGACAACAAGTTATATGGTCGACTTACTATGTTAAAGTAAGACAGTCTTATGGTAATAATGCTAATACCATAACGGTAATACAAACATAATAGTTTAACATATGCAACATTTAATAAAGCTGACTTAAAAACAAATATTAGCTAACCTTTCAGGGGCATTTATTGCAATTTCTCGCGTCTAACCTTACATTGCTTCCACACCTTATATGCTTTGTTTAAATCCACATCCTCTCCAGCATTGAGATATAATTTAATTTGCATTAGATTCTCCAAATGTGTGGCTTACGTGTATTTCGTGCTTGCACTTTTATTATGTTAATAAGGCTAAAACCTTGTTCGTAATCAGCACTGCATGCTTGGAAGGTACAATAATGTCACTTAACTTTGCAAGTGAGCTAAATTTTGTTCTTTGTTTTGACAAATCTTGCATATTCAGACATATAATTTACAGAAACAGATTTGAGTTTTTTCACTTTATCGAAATTTGGAGTCGTTGTATTGGGTGGTAATTAACTGATCATTTGTTGTACGTAACCGGTCTTTGTACTTTACGCATAGTTCTTTGATATCTTTGACGCCAAACTCAAATGCACATTTTTTTTTAAACCTGTAGAATAAAAAAAAGATACCCAAAACTGCAGTTCATCTCCTGGAAACCTAACATTTAAATGGTCGCAGACTGATTGTATGTACTGTGTGGTTTGCCTTGTGTCGATTCTTTCGTTTAACTCACACTTTTCTTGGCTTTAATGTTCAGTGTAGTGCTTTGTTACGGCTGTTTTCAGAGCTGAGTTATTCCACTAAATACGGTTTTGTAGAATACAGAATTGACTGGACGAAATTTAAAATAAAGGATTAGCATTTTATGTACTGTTATGCCATCAACTATAAGCGTGTGGAATGAAGCTGCTCGAAGTTCTGTCAGTATGTTCTTTACAACAACTTCGTTGATTACTTGAACAAACTCAAAGTCGTATTTCTTACTTCGCCAACTGTCTGGTATAGAAACATACTTCCCCATGTGGTTATGAATCAGTTGTACCGACAGCATCGAGGCGTTCATCCTTATGGTAAGAAGAACATTATCCGTTGGGATTCGAACTTGATCCTCGTTTGACCGCTGGCGCTAGTTTTGCTCAATTAGTTTTCCTCGCTCAGTGTAAGTTTCAACTGGCAGACGTTTAAGGTCAGTTCCATGTGAGCGGTTGTACGAAATCGCAACATTTCCTACGTAAACACGAGACAATAAATGACGTTTTCAGTAGTCAAGCGCCCATGATTCCCAGAGCTTTCCTGTGACCAATTCGTTGCTCTTGTTGGTTTTGTTACAAGTAGTAGCAGCACAGAACTTACACTTCAGTCCAATCTCATCTGAATATTTGTAGATGCTTTCTAATTCAACCGAAACATTCTTTGATCTGGCGTATCAGTTGTTACTTTAACTTTGAGCCATTCAAGTTTAAACGAATCTATCGCTTTTTTGTGCCACATTGTTGTACTGCTTGTTACACACATTTTTTCCTCAACATTTTTAAATAGTACACAGTAGTGGACATTTATTCCTGATTTACCTAAGCAGTGTGTGCATACTAAAACATTTCGATCCACATGCACGTAATAATCCCAAGAATCTGATATATAATATATAAATCTTTAAACCAAACACAGCAAAAACATCCACCTTAAGTAACGTAAAACTTGCATCTGACTTGGCTTAATGGTCAAAGTTTCAAGATGAGGGGGAGGGGGGGGGGGGGTGCGGGGGCAAGCGACGATTAAAAAAACTTGCAGGGTCAGCTTCAATTCACAATACAATGCAGGTATTAGATGTCAGCTCTGGTCAGTTTTTGGGTAAACCATTAAATCAAGCAATGGGAGTGTCACACAGCCCCGCTCAGGTGAGAGTTAAGTCATAAACTAGACCTGTGCTATGACAACCGAGGTCACCCCCTCCCCCCCGTCAGTGATAACCGTCGTTTCTGTTTATACCCCAAAACACAAAGACTGTTCGTTTAACAAAACAGGCACTAAAAATGTCGCTTAATTCAAGCCACTGACCACAATTAATTTTTTTAGTGAATCAGGCTCGCCCGACGTTCTGATAATCTGTGCGCGGGGTCAGAAAATGTCTGCGCGGCACATTTGAAAGTACTGCGCGGCCGCGCAGCCGCGCAGCTTAGAGGGAACACTGATCGTATAATATGTGTGTAGGTCAATGTGTAAATGTGTATCTACTGTGAAATGATAGAAAGTCATGATCTTCATAGTGCTGGCGTGTAGCATTGCAAACGTCATTGGTCAGCAAAAAATTCGCCACCTGAGCCCCCATGTAGGCCTATATCACGTCTACTTCCCCCCCCCCTCCAGTACGGGCAATGATATGACCAAATGACAAATTGTTTGACATTTGGTTCAGCTAATGTTTCAAGTTTCAATGAGCGTGGGATGGAATGAACATTGGTTGACAGGTGGGTGATACATACAGCTGAGGGGAATAGAGAGGTCAGGTAAAATGACGGGCAGATGAAACGTACAGGTGAATTCAGATTTATTAAAGGTAGACTAAGTGAAATAAAACGGCCGAGCGGTAGAGTGCTAGCCCGAAAGTCTCGAGTTCGGATCCCGGGTTCGAGTCTATAGCACGTCCCTGAGTCCACCCAGCTGTGATGGGTACCTGACTCACGTTGGGGAAACTAAGGCGGCTGGGCGTAGTGCTGACCACACAATCTCCATGTATGCTGAGGTAATTAAGACTAATGAACCCTACTTCATCTGCCCCATGTGTTTTGGACACGAACGGGAAAAAGATGATGATAAAGTGAAACAAGAGTGGGTGAACGGGTACATAAAATAAAAAAGTTGATGAAATGTGTAGTTGAAACAGGCACATAGATAGATACAGTTTCCATACAATAACGGATACGCTCACATCTAAGAGATATACACATATAGGTGAAATAGACAAGTAGGTGAAACAGAAATGTAGGTGAAACAGGTAAGTATGTGAAATAGCGATAGAGGCGAAACAGAATGTAATTGAAACAGCCATGTAATTGAAATAGACAAGTATGTGACACATAAATGTAGGTGAAACATAGTTGAAACAGAAATGTGGGTGAAACAGACATATAGATGAAACAGAATGTAGTTGAAACAGGTAAGTATGTGAAGCAGCCATAGATGTGAAACAGACATATAGTTGAAACAGCCATGTTATTGAAACAGACAAGTACGTGACACATACATGTAGGCAAAGCAGACATATAGATCAAACATAATGTAATTGAAACAGAAATGTATGTGAAACAGACCTGTATGTGAAACTAACAAGTAGATGAAACAAGTAAATGAAACAGCTATACAGGTGAAACAGACGATTGTACAAAACAGATTCGACCAAACAGCACCATGCCAACCGACCTTCTTGATGAGATTATCCTCTATCAGCACCCACTCCTTCTTATCCATGTGCCGTGTCTTATGCCGGGTCAGGTAACATCCGACCCCGATCCTCTCCACCGTCGACTTGAGGGGGAGGGTGAAGTTGATCCGGCACCGTTCGTCCGGCACGAATTTGTTGAACCGTTTAGCCAGCCGGCGGGCTAGCTTGTGTTTCTCGATCTCCGTGTCGCACATCTCTTCGGTGCCGGCCGCATCACGGAACACCTGGGTAGAGCAAGGGATCAATTGGTTTAGCCGTACCACAACAATTGTTGTATTGGTTAATTTGGGTGTGTGTGTATTGCTACAAAACAGTACTACGAAACAGCACCTTAAATTTTAAAAAATTAAATAACTGTTCTTTAAGGGAAAAAAGTATTTTAAAACAATTTCTGCAGTAATACTTAGATACGGTAGTGCAATACCACCTTCAAAAATAGTTAGATGGAACTAGTTCAGTTATCAAAAATTATTTAATAAAGCTGCATTTTCAGTAATCTAAATTTATAAAAAACGACCTATAATTCTGCCTAAATCACTAAACCAAATGAAATACAAGTTAAACTGGTTTGTCTCGCTACGATATGGAGAAATTTCTGGATTCGATTTTCTGATTACTTTTATTTTAATTGTAAAATATGAATGTTAGGTTCGCAAAATTTACCTTTGTTTATGAGAATTTCAGAAGCTCCTTCTAACTTTATAAGATATAAATTCTTATAAAAAAAACATAGTCGTAAGTTTTTAATTAGAATTCGCGAATATTTTTTGAATTAATCGGTTCGCGATTTTTAAAAGAAAATTCGCGATTTAAAAAAAAAAAAAGATTTGTTAGTTTTTATCAGAAGTAAGCGCTTTTTGTATTCTGCAACGTTATTTAAATTTATAATCAGTGATAAGCTTGAATAAATATTAATGACATAATTTAATTCACGCGTTCATTATTTACAACTTTATGATAATCTATTACGGTTTTCTTTCTGAAGAGAGAGATAAAACAAAGTAACTATGTTATTTTTACAGTCAGACAAGCGACTCATAGAAAACAGAAACCCAACGAAAATATGCCATAATCATCCATAATACAGCTGATGACTTGGTAATTTAGGGGAAGAGATGCGTGTATTAGGAATACAAGGTGCTTAGATTAGCCTTACAAGATGTATGGATTAGCATTGTCACATGCAAAATTTAGCATTACAAGATGCGTGCATTAGCATTACATGATGCGTAGTTTAGCATTACAAGATGGGTGGTTTATCACTACAACATGCGTAGTTTAGCATGACAAGATGGGTGGTTTATCACTACGACATGCGTAGTTTAGCATTAAAAGATGCGTGGTTTAGCACTGCAGGATTCGTAGTTTAGCATGACAAGCTTGGTTTCGCATGTCAAGATGCTTCGATTAGCATTACAAGAAGCATGGATTAGCATCACAAATCATGTTCGAGCCCGCCTTAGTCTTCAGTCGGTGGCACCTGACAGGCTGTCACGCCCAGAATCAAATGACATCACGCAGGAAAGTCGTCTCTCGTTACCAATCGATACAACAGATGTTTAGGACTCATCTTTCCAATTATTCGTCAAAAAAAAAAAAAAAAAAAAAAAAACTGATAAAAACTTGCCTTAACTACGGCATGCTCTCCCTTCCTTGGCCCCTTCCCATCCAGATGACCGTGGTAGATCTTCTTCCTGTTGCCTTTGGCCGCTGAATGCGTGTGGAAGCTGGCACTGTAGTTCTGGCCCTTGAAGTCTGGGCAGGAGGCGTTCGTCTCGTTAACCAGGTGGAGCAGTCGCAGGGACATGAGGAAGGTCTGGGGGGGGGGGGGAATTATTAGCAGGTATAGACATATGGACATACATGCATAGACACACATAATATATAAATACATGTATGTGTGTGCTAATTACATGGTATGAAAGTAAGGTAAATATGTAAATATATGTATATACACGCCTAATATATAAATGCATGTATGTGTGTGATTATTACATGGTATGAAAGTAAGGTAAATATGTAAAAAGAGATACAAAACAATCAGATGAGGAGGTACTTTTTAGTTTAGCTTGGGTTTCCCCAAAAACAATCGCTGGACACACACACACATATCAGATATAGCCTCAAACCTAGCGCCGACTCTTGCCTTAGCTCAAAACTAAACACAAAACTCACCTAACCCTCAATCCGAAACTAAACGAAATCCTAACCTAAAGTGTAAACATATAGTCGCCAGCTAAATACAACGCACTCTAAAGCTACACTTTACAATAATTTTTCTATAACATCTATAACATTTGTTATAACTCTTAAAACATATGTGTAATACATTTGTTAAACACGGTAAAACCATGTAATAGGAATGTCCACGGGCCTAGTTGGTGGCTTTGCCAACACATTTTATCATAATTAAACATTTACACTTTTTAAATCGTCACATGATTACCTTCATATTGCACAGCTTCAATTGTCAAAGGCTACGCAGCGTACTATGAATATATATATATATATATATATATATATATATATATATATATATATATATATATATATATATAATTGCACGCATGACTAATCTCTGTTATATTCTTTCAACCAAGCATGTAATTTTACAAACCCAACCAAATCCCTGGCATTGTCCCACAGACACGATATAGACGGCCTTGACCGTGTCTTTAAACCAGGCAGACTTGTTAAATGTCTGTTGTAGTTGACAGAAATAGCAGACTAGCATTAATGCTGTGGTTGGCAGACGGGGTAGGCTAGCATTAATGCTGGGTATTAGCACAGACCTTCTTACATAACGATTTCTTTATGTTTGAGTACGAGTTAAACAGTTGTTTTCAGAGTGTTAACCCAAGGTGTTAAACCAAGAGTAAACTCAAAAGTTAAAAAAACCAAAAGTTACAGCAGAATGTATATCGAAAGGTTAACCAGAAATTTAAACCCTACCTCATTGCACGTTAACTCAAACTACAACATCTATAAAAACAGCAATACTATTATTAAACTGAAGTTTAATTTCACGTTTATCCAACAGTTAAACCACCAGTATATATGTGGGGATAAGAATTCGTTAAACCAAAAGACAATACAAGTGAAAAACCAAAAGATGACAATGTTAAACAAATGGTTAAACTAATGTGAAGCTAAACCAGCTACGATTTTAAAAAAACGCAAGTTGTATTTTCAGAAATTCTAAACAGAAAATTCGGCTACATAAAAGAAGAAAAAGGGGTCGGCGTGGTCGAGTCGGTAAAGCTCATGGGTGCTAAACCGAAAAGTCTCGAGTTCGAACCTTCGGGCAGATAAGGCTCGATCCCCTCCAACACTAAAAATTAAGAACGAAGAAGAAGAAGAAACATTTGTAGGACATAATTCAATGAGGATAATGTTTTTGTATCTTTCACATACACTATAGAACGATTTATATAGGAAAGGTCCATCTTTAGACTTTTATTGGCACACCACAACTACCCACCCTAATTGTGTACAAATTACACATATCCATGTTTACCCTACATTTGGCACACTACAAACTATCAACGACCTACTTCATTCTGTACAGACTACACATACTACCTTTATACTACACACCATTTGTTTACCAACACCACAGACCCAGACACCTTCAACTGTGCTAATCAGTATCCTGTTACACATGTACTTTTAGCACACGACTAGCGTCACACCCGGCTGCACACGTACACATTCATGCAAGCATGTCATGATCGATGCTGTGTATACCTCCAGTTGGGCGAGTTATGAAATAAATTATTCGTGTACGTTCTGTTTCTATGTGTTACGGTTTAAAGAGCAGGATGTGTGTGTGTGTGGGGGGGGGGGGGGGGGGGGTAATGAAATTTGTTTTATACTAGTATCCTGCTATGGGTACTTGGAAAATATGATATCATTAGTTATACTTTGTCTACTACTGGTATACGTTGATTATATTTAGTCTACGAATTAACTGAAAAGTCCTTAAAACATTAACATGAGTACATTACAGACAAGTACGAAAACAAGACGTGGATAACTGCTGCAACAGATTTTTTATCTCAAGGCGTGCCATACGGAGAGATTCCTAGAGATGTATGCAGATACGTTTTTTTCTGAGGTATTTTGTCTGAAATATATTGTCCAAGGATATTTTGTCCTGTCAATTAAAGAAATCGTTGAGCTCTACTTTATCTGCCCTCTTCTCAGTGGAACTTCATATTTAAACCAGAACTATAGAAGGACTTCAACAGTCAACACTACTGCTTTCTTTGTCAAGAAGATGTAAAGGAACACGTGAACGGGGAAAAAGAAAACATAAAGGTGTAATTAATGTTGATTAAGTTTAATCAAGCGTGGTGGCTAAATTAATTAAAAAGCACGGTCAACAGAAAACTTGTACAAATAAAAAAAGAGTTGGCACTGGTCACGTGGTGATGACGTCATGTCCGGAATTCCTTCCACGCGGAAAGGTCAGGCGCTGGCTGGACGAAATCATTGCGTGAGGTCATGGGGTCAGCGCGTGAGGCTGGAATTTCCAGAGCCAAGTTTATACATAAGTAAAGATCTGCAGAACTTTTGGCAGAGAGACAGGGAAAATACTGGGATGTCAGGATAAACTTGAGGGGAGTCAGGAGTCAGAGAAACGTCAGGGGAGTCAGGAGTCAGGGAAACATCAGGGAGTCAGGAGTCAGGGAAACATCAGGGAGTCAGGAGTCAGGGAAACATCAGGGGAGTCAGGAGTCAGGGAAACGTTAGGGGAGTCAGGAGTCAGAGAAACGTCAGGAGTCAGAGAAACATCAGGGAAATCAGGAGTCAGAGAAACGTCAGGGAAGTCAGGAGTCAGAGAAATTTTAGGGGAGTCAGGAGTCAGAAAAACTATAGGGAAGTCAGGAGTCAGAGAAACTTCAGGGAAGTCAGGAGTCATAGAAACGTCAGGGGAGTCAGGAGTCATAAAAACGTCAGGAGTCAGAGAAACGTCAGGGAAGTCAGGAGTCAGAGAAACGTCAGGAGTCAGAGAAACGTCAGTGGAGTCAGGAGTCATAGAAACGTCAGGGGAGTCAGGAGTCATAGAAACATCTGGGGAGTCAGGAGTCAGTGAAACTTTAGGAAGTCAGGAGTCAGAGAAACGTTAGGAAGTGTTGGGTCGTAACTGGAGTCAGTGTAGCCTCACGAAATTATGGGTTCTTATCAGAAAAAGTATACCTATGGGGAAATTAAACACATTTTAAATGTTTTTATGTTTCCAGACGAAAAATGAAACACTGACAGCTTTAGAATCAAAATGGTAGCTAACCATAGAGGTATAGAGAATTATTTCTATTTGAAACAAGTAGAAGATTTTTAGACAGGCGCACACACATTAAGCTGACCAGTTGTAAGATCACAGTGAGAGATGACATCTGGGTGGGGTAAGGATGTAAATCATCAAAGGTGATACACGCTTGCACTTCAGAGACTAATCCCATTCAGTCTGAAGGTCGTAGACCGTGCTATGACATACAGAACAGAAGCAAAGGTCAACGTGATCTTTACTAGCTAATGCCTCGGGTAAACTTAATCATATTCATTCTATAGGGTCAGGGTGAACTAGTACATTACGACCAATGTCAAGGTGATATGAATCCAAGGGCGGCTTGAAAAATGTTAAGTTCGAATCGGTCAGAGAAATGAGAATCCAAATCGATTGTACAAGCTACACCAGCCCCAAATCCCAGACCACACTTTATTACATTACCAGCCCCTTCCCCTTCACACATAATTCCCACAACCCTCCATTAACCCTAGCAGCTTTACTCTCAACCCTCTCCCCAGGGCTGTCATCGAGTTGTCTGCCCCAAGAAAGTCAAGAGCAAGGACATCCCCCCCCACCCTCTCCCACCCCCTCTCAAAAAAATTGATCACAGCCCACCAGACTAATCAATGCCAAACTCCCGCCAAGCTAATCAATACGTCTTCATTGCTACATCCGTTTTTTTACGTATGGGTTGCTTCCCTTTCACTAAACAACCATTAGCCGGTCTAGGTCTGTTCTTCCGGTTCAAGATGGCGGACGTGAGCTGTCTGGAGATGCATCTTGGTACAGTTGACTGCAGTCGGCTCTAATGGCTCTTGGCTCTTTTTTATTCTCCGTGTGTCGGCTTTTTACGAGGTTTCTAAATCATCTTAGATTTAGGAAAGGGCTTCTTGCGACCGACAAAACAGGACACCTATGTGTTGGATTTTATGTTCGTCTTCATGGCATTAAACAACATGGTGACGGTCGTTTGAACTTAAAGGAAAACATCTGAATTAATTCATTAACGTATGTGCTAATCTCCAGAGTTCTCTGTCCTGCTGGAGTATGGGCCACCAACTACAGCTCTCCAGAGTTCTCTGTCCTGCTGGAGTATGGGCCACCAACTACAGCTCTCCAGAGTTCTCTGTCCTGCTGGAGTATGGGCCACCAACTACAGCTCTCCAGAGTTCTCTGTCCTGCTGGAGTATGGGCCACCAACTACAGCTCTCCAGAGTTCTCTGTCCTGCTGGAGTATGGGCCACTAACTACAGCTCTCCAGAGTTCTCTGTCCTGCTAGAGTATGGGCCACTAACTACAGCTCTCCAGAGTTCTCTGTCCTGTACCATCTCCCCTGGAAGCTCTAAAAACTATCTGTCCTGGTAGTGTTTGTCAAAAGTTCCTATGGAAGTGTTTAAAGAAGGCCTCGTTTCCGCCCGTCTAGGGAGGTTCCATTTTAATGACTTCCTGTTGAAACAGGTTCGCAATTTACCCAGCTATTGTCGTCAGGTTCGCAATTTACCCAGCTATTGTCGTCCCAG